AAATGGGAATTTTGCCATCAACTTCATAGAGAACAGGATTGGGCCCTAATTCTTCTTAGCAAGGACACTAGATATACCTACTTTTAGGGCAAAGTGCTCCCCAATACCTTCAAATCCCAGTAAAGCCAATGGATGTTAGGGGCACTGAACATCTTTCAGACAAACCGTAACTCAAGATGAAATCATACAGTGTTAGGGTTAAATAAACAATAACTGCAGTGGACGTGAGTCATTCAGAGGAGAGCTGGTTGAAATATTTTGATTTTTAATTATATTTTCCATAATTTTTCTTTCCAAATTTGATGAAAAACAAACCTGAAAAATGTCAATGACAATTTTGATCAGGAAATGTGCATCCGGTGTTTTGGAGCAGCTAAAGAGGTGGCTGAATTTTTTTGATTTTTGAAAAATATCAATGATTTCTATACTTTGCAATTTTGAAAAAAAAAAACCTATCAGTAAAGATTTTTAATTTAATTTAAACTGCTTTTTCAACCAGCTCTAATTAAGAGGTAACAAGGAAGGGAGAAAAAATTTGTTTCCAAATGATGGTAATTGAAAAAAGATTGAGAGATATGCAAATGTAAAAGCCTTTTCAGAAACAAGACACGGAATGGGGGGAAGAGAAATAACTCAGAATTGATATGGGATTTCAGCGTGTAGTCCTGAACTAAGCAGTAGCTGCCATGGAATTGTAGTAAACTTTAGGCCTGGCTGAGTTCACTGATAAAGCAACTTCTCCTCGTTACTAATACGTCCTTTTCACATTGCCCGTCTTCTCTCCTTCCATGCAGTTCTGGAAAAATGGTCAAGGGCAATAAACCTATATTTGTCTAACTGGGATAAGAACACATTCCCCAGCCTGGGTACATTGCGATTCTTCGATACAATTCTTCCGTTCTATTGTCATGTGACCAGCAACTGGCTGCAATGTGAGGAGCTGAAGGTGAGAATTGCTGGCTTTCTAAACCTTTAGCAGAAATTGTAATGTTAAATTCTATGTGTCTGTCACTCTCTGTGATGATGGCATTTAATGGTGGGTCCTTTTGGATGGACCAGAGTGTCATGTAAAACATCTAAACCCCATATATTTATAATGTCACCACATCATGGAAATTCTGTCTGTACACAGTGTACATAGCTTCTAGTTTTATGCCCCTAATGTGCAGATGAACACGGGATAGTGGGTTAAATTAATTCCTGGTATAAGTCCATTCACCCCAGTGGAATGACAGCAGTTTTGAGTTGGCTGAGAATGCGTACTAATCTGGGGAATATTTTACCTGGTATAGCTGTGAAGTGCATTAGAATATAATCCTGAAACCAACCCTATGAATCCCGGTTCTTTACCAGGAAATACTGAGATAGGGCCGTTCCTAC